AATATACTATGCAGAGCAAAAGGACATCCAACACACCAGCAAAGGGCAAAAAAGGGAGCTCAAGCGCATGCCACAAAAAAATCTTAATTTTCCACTATGCATAGCAAAAAAACAGACGAAAAAAAGCCGCAAAAATTCGAACGGGTTTAAAAAGTATGAAAATTCACAAAAAACTCCCGAGCCCGGGGTACTCGTGGAGGAGGTACCTCCCCAACGGACCACCGGACACCCTGACGAACCGCGCCAGGCACCGAGAGAGACCTCCGGGGGATATCCCCGGAGGCGAGTTTCCATAACTAGAGCAGCTATGGCAGGCTTCATCGCTTCGTCTGAGCTGGCAAKCTTCGACATCCTGATCARGTTCGAGAATACCGTCGCTTTCTTGCATGCTTTCTTTGAAAACGAACAGTAATCCTGCAACGATTGAATTGCCAACGTCCCTCTTTCTGCAAGGGATACTTGATTCCTGGTCCTAGGATGGATGACAATCTTTATAGGCTGAATCATCACGAAAATTCGAGTACCCAGGAAATCCAAGCAGTTCTTCCCCTCATCTTTCCTGACCAATGAGAGTTGCCGATCATAGCAGGTCTCAAATTCCTCCATCATCCTTTCGGCATCTCTCGCCGATTCTTCGTTTCCCGATTTGAATGCAGCTATAATGGCTACATCATCGATCATGCGTACTCTCATTACCCACGCAGCTCTCCTCCCAAGCGATCGCATGAACTTGGCTTCGGCACAAGCACATACCAAGCACGCTATGGCTGGGCTTGAATTCCTCCCCATAGGAATGTCGAATACTTGTCGTAGCATCCCCCCGGCGCTCTTCACAAAAGTGTGGCTCAACTCAAGCTCCACATACGACCGGAGGTCTTCAAAATTGATGTAGATAAAGCCTCCTTCTTTCCTTGCTCGCTTGGTCATGGCACACACCTTCCCCCTTGCACATACCTTCACTCCAACCATCCCCCCCTTCTGGTGGTAGTCAATCACCCAGGCGATTGCTTCCATAATGCTTCAATGAGATAATCTGGCAAACATGTCCTTCACATCGAAACTTCTGGCAAATGCAGCATCCGCAATCTTCCCTAGCCTCCCCTCCATCCGCTCGCACACATCACGAAGTTCATCCATCGACTTGAGATCAAAGTGGCTCCGCCGATCCAAACAAAACAGCATGTACCTAATCGCCTTCCCTACTCTCGATCCGGCCAATCTCGCAGGATCATTGGTGCATGGCGATATGGGTCTCCACCTCTGGAGATCTTTGTCCTTCGGCAGGACATAAGCTTGCCCAACTTTGCCTGCAGATTGCCACCTGGCTATCCTCCGTAACCCTTTCTCCTCGTACTCTTCCTTCATCTCCGCTAGAATYTCACTCTCGACTCGCCTRTCCTCAACATAACTYGCACTGAGGTTGAACGTCTCCCTACACGCCTTAATATACAGATGCGGGCACAAGAGCAGTGTGGCGCCMGGGTTCCTGTCGATGGGAACGGCAACCAAGTTCTGGTAAGCTGCTGTGGCTTCCCTCACTTCACTCGCTGACATCGCTTTGCCACAGTCGGCCCTCCGGGCCTCAACGCACCTCCCAATCTCATCTTGGTCCAGATGCAAGACCTTCCCTTTCGACCATGGCCTCAAACCTTCCTTGATACACTCCGCCACCATCATTCCCGATAGCCCCACTCCCTTTGTGATGTTCTTTGAGTTCACCACAAACGTTGGGACACCAGGAATGTGTTCAATCCTAACCTGGACATGCCCCTCAATCCTGGGTAAATCCAGATCTTGACATACACATATCCCCACACTTTTCTCTGCAAACGACCAGTGGTTGTGAAGAACTCCTCCCACAGTGATCCTCTTCTTAAGTACCACTCTAACCCGTCTCCCGATAAACGAACGGATGTACTTATCCGGCAAAACTTGTGTGAGTGCTGCCGTAGCAATGCGTCTAACTTCCCCAAGTCTAATCGTAGTTGAAAAAGGAATCTTCATGCATGGTCTCCTTCGCACTTCCACACCGTACTTCCTCCTCGCGACGTTCGAAATCATGTATCTCAAGTGATTCCGAGTCTTCTTCTCGCTGAACAAACCAGCAGTCCTATACAGATTGACGATCTCTTCTGAGCCAAGCTTGTATATTTTCCGAATGTTACCAGGACGCTTCATCAAATCACGGAGTACGTTCTTCCTTCGAATAGCACCGGAAGAAACCACTTCTATCCTCTGGACCCCGAAGCTACCCCCTCGTTCCAACGCCTTCTTGCACTCGCGCAGAGGAAGACACCTCCCCTCAATTTCAAGTACGCATCCCCCCACTTTCCCTTACACATTCTGCCACCTGTCAACCCACAACATCCCCTCGGACGATCGAATCCTTTTGATCCCATTTTCTTCCTTCAACTCCACAATAGCATCGATAATCGATGCCTTCCCGTTAAAAACAATCACGGGTCCTCCCTTGTCCTTATTCATCCTTTTTCCCCTTTCCCTTTTTCCCTTCCTCTTCTTTCTTAACCTTCCCTCATTCTTATTACCTTGTGTGTTCAGCGCTGGAGAAAACCTCTGAATCAGAGATCTCTCCACTGTAAAGGGATCAGAAACATTACACACCAATGGTAGAACGAGGTACTTCTCCCATCCGAAGATCTTCAGCCAGTTGTGGAGTTTCGGAGCGTTACCTGCTTCCCTGTTGATCACCCCTTTCACATGATCCGACCAATGGATGATGATCTTCCTGGTACTCGCACCGATATAAAAATGTCGACAAAACGGGCTCACTACAGCGTACACCCCTGGATCATTGGTTGACACGTTCGCTTCCTCTCCAGCGGTTAACCCAATCCATTTCCTCCCCCATGAGCATTCTCCTCTAATTACGCATAATACGAATAAGCGAAAAATAAGATCTTCTTCACCCACCTTCAGACCTCTTCCGTTCTGATTAACCTCCTCTCCTCTCCTGTGCATCACATCCTTGAGCTCTCGAAGAACATCCATGCTACCTACCTTTCAAAAATAGAGGAAATCCTACCGTTCTCGACGAAGTCCCCGTAGGCAAGCTTGGCCTTACACCTAACCAGTTCCCCGATCGCCACGTCACGTTTGGACCACTCAATACCCTCACGATTACACAACTTTCTAAGCTCCGGAACCTTCTTCCCCGACAAATGTCGGTGCATTTCAATGGCGAAATCTAACATATCGTTGTTAGCAACATCAGGTCCAACTCCTCCCCTACCGACTGCGGGTGTTCTCACTTCATCATCTTCTTCAATCTTCACCGGATCGTTGCGCAGACCTTGGCGCTGGTTCCTCGAAACCACACCTCCCACGACTTCTCTCCTCTTCCCCTTTCGTTTTTCTATCGCCTCGATCAGTTTCCCAGCTTCCTCTCTAACCTCCTCACTATCATCATCTGATTCAACGAGATAACTCCTGATTTCCCGGAGCATTCTCGCCTTGGTCTTAGGAGATTTCTTCTTCCCTACTAATGATTCTCCTCTGTCAACTGTCTTGGTGTGCTGTGCCAAGAGTCGTACCAATCGAGCCTCCATACGAGCTTCCCTAGCTTCCGCTTCTTTCAGTCTATCCTGTTCTCTCCTATTCTCCTCCTCGCTCCTTTTCTTCTCTTCCTCCTCTTTTTCCTTCCTTTCCAGGTCTGCCTTCCGCTTCCTTATCTTCTTGCGAATGCACTCTTTCATCTCTTTCGTCTCATCGTCTTGCGGGTCAGTTGTAGTGGTCGGTGGAACTGAGGTGGGCCTCCCATTACCAACTGACCAACAGTTTCGAGCATAATGCCCAACCTTGCCGCATAAATGGCACGTGATAACTCCGGGCTGTATCCCGCCCATGAAAGGAGCGTTATTACCATACCCTGGAACGGGTGCGCCTTGTACTGGTAGATTCGCCATTCCTGCCTCTCCTCCTCAATCTTTTCCTCTCTGTCCTTCTCCGATCTCTCACTATGCAACCCACGGTATAGACCCACCCTAAACACTTTTCTAACAAGTCAATAAATTCCTCCTTAATTTCTTCGTTGCCGAAAGTTAACGACACGTAGAGCTGAGGAATTAAGTCCTCAAACACACATTTCTCCAACTCAAGCCACGTACAAAAAAATGCGGTCTCCCTAAAATTCCTATCTGTCATACTTCCTAAATACCCAACGTCGCGCTAGTCCCACTACCGATCCTATCAGGACATCTCAATGACACCTTCAACTCCTTCCCTAATGCGGTACACCCTACCCTCGTGCCTAATCCGTTGGAAAACGTTGCTCTTTGGGTAACGATCACGCCCCAAGCAGTGAAGACGGTCACGCTTCAAAGTTCTCTCTCCTTGTATACGAGCGCGGACGATCACGCCTTCTCTCCACAGCAGATGAGCACCTGTACTTCGTCGAAACGAAGAACAGAAGCTGAAAACCACAACCCAAATCGTAGCCGCCGCTTACTGCCAAACAACCCGGTTACCACGTTAACAGAGAATAAAGGTAGAGAAGAAAAGCAACAAGTCGGAACACACTCGGATAACCGCAACTCCAAGCCTTCTCATAATATTGCAATAACTTCAAGCACGCAACGCCTCTACGCGTTTCGCTGCTGGCGTGCTCCAGCAAGCTCATCAGGAGGCACACATGAAATCGAGATGTCGTACGCATCACAATCACTTCTTAAATACCTTTTCTTTGAACCACGCGCGCGTCATGAGTTCCTATCTACATCCCCTACACCCAATACCCGTCCCTTCTTTCTTCGCTCAGCCGCATCTACCTCCCCCCTACTCCCCCACTACTACTCCTTCCGTCAGAGCATCCAGCATCCCTTCCGGTGCGCCAAACCGTTGGTAAAGGGTAACCGTCATTGCCACTATTAGTCCACGCTTTTAACCTTCTCTCTCCCCTCCCGATCATAGYGAGAATCGGCTCCACTCCCCCCTCCTCATCATCTTCGTAATATGGATCAGATTCAACTTACCAGTGTCGGTGATCAGATACGTCCGTGGCGCATGCATGCTTCAACCACGCCGAATCTTTCAGCACTAACTTCTYGGAAATTGTGTTACAGCGTCSTGACCCTTCCCGCTTCCTTTCCATTTCTAACTATCGCGCAAAAAACTCTCCCTTTTTAGTATAACCCAAACTTAAAACCTGACTGACATCTTCTCCCGTAAACGCCAAAGGGTCCAGGATGCTCGCAAAATTGGCAAAGGGCGAAAAGCAAGTTTAAACGAACACCGACTSGRAACCAACTTCCCTCCARAATATACTATGCAGAGCAAAAGGACATCCAACACACCAGCAAAGGGCAAAAAAGGGAGCTCAAGCGCATGCCACAAAAAAATCTTAATTTTCCACNTTTGGGCATTGGCAAGAGCAGCCTCCTGGACGGGCCAGCACTATATAAGACTGGCCCGCCCTACAGGCAGGAAGTAGTTCATAGGTACTTCCCAGGCACTTCACGTACAGTTCAGGAGGCAACAGGCTGTCTTCAGGATTCGGCAGCAGCACTCTGGAGGAGCGTTGCAGGAGTAGTACTAGCGCTAGCAGTAGTCTTCCGCGCTAGGCGCTTCGTAGCGTTAGCAGTAGTCTTCAGCGCTGGGCGCCATAGCTAGAGTAGTACTGAGAGAGATTGGGCGGAGGCCAGAGATACTTACCTGCAACGCCGTTGCTCCAGCTTCGTCTTCAAGGTACCTGCAGCACATCGCCATCTTCACAGGTTAGTACGTGACACATGAGAGAGAGAGTTCTTCTTCTTCCTCTTCTCAATCCACCATCTCCTTCTCACCCTCTCGGTATCTGACTTCACTGCATCAGCAGACTACGAGAGAGAGAGAGAGAGAGAGAGAGAGAGAGAGAGAGAGAGAGAGAGAGAGAGAGAGAGAGAGCTTGGTGACATTTGGATCCAGACTCGACATTGGACTTCAGACATATCGAAGAGGGATTATTTGGGACTTGTAACGAGACTTGGTGTTGACGACTTTCCCATCTCTCCCCTCCTCTTCGTCTGATCCCCTCCTCCTCGTCTGTGTATATCTGGACTTCGCGCCTCTTTCCTGTGTATAGCGCCAGGCTCCTTCACACCTTGTGATGGACATGATGTATGTTTGGTCCGTGTTGCAACATTGATTGGGCTAGTCAGTGGTATTCTAGCATTCTGCTATGCTGTTTTGTATTACGTGATAGAGGTCAATATCGGTCAGGTTAGGACTTGTATCTAAAGTCTTCCCTGCGCTATAAAGCACCATTTGGTATGTATTGGACTGCACATTGCTTGTTGAGATTCTACTTGCACTGCATTGTCCATTCAGTCCTTTTTATCACATTGCGGATCCTCGGTTTATATGTACATCGCCCAACTGGGCCTGTAACAGTTGGTATCGGAGCACCGCACGTGAATTAGGACAACCTGATCTGACACGTGTGTGGGGACTGGGTAGCTGATTAGTCTTGATTGATTGATCATAGCACACTAGTTAGCCCCCAAAATCACGATTTTGGCCTCACTGCCGAAAATCGAATTTTTTTTCTTTTCTTGGATTTCGTTTTCTCGCTATTTCTGTTGTGGAAAATCACAATAGCGCAACATCTGAAATTTCAGTTTTCGTTTTTCTTCTGAAAATCCGAAATTTCGTTGTTGGAAATCCGTATCTTTTTTCGAAAATTTCGATCTCCTTTTGCAATTTCCCATTATTTGGAAATTCGGAATATTTTCCGAAATTCGTTTTTCTGAAAACGGTACGGGAAATCCCTCTTGCAGTACCATTTTCGAAACTGCGCATATTCTCATCTGAGTCATTCCGATTATTTTTTTATTATTATTTTATTTGTCGGAATGGTCATTCGCAGTTTTGTGATTTTCACTATCTGATAGTCATTGGCAGTCTGAAAGTCGAAATCTCTTGCTTATTTGTATTTCGCACTTCGAGGGTATTAGGAGACCTACTGAACTTACAAAAAAAATAAAAAATTGGGAAGTTCAGAACTTTTCTTTTTGATTAGTGGCTCCTTATCTGGGCGATTTATCCCACCCACCCCTCCCCACCTACGTTGTTGCCACCTCTGGTCTTATCTTCTTCATCTGAATCCGGGTACCTGTACTGCGGCATTGGTAAGTTGCCACGTCAGCAGCCGTGCAGTGACATGTCAGCAGCCGAGCAGTGCCACGTCAGCAGCCGAACAGTGCCACGTCAGCAGGGGGTGCTGCGTCAGCAGCTCTCCGGTCTGGTTTATGCTTACACGCTTGCAAACAGCAGCCATGGACCAGAAGCCAGGAGAAACGGACGAGGCCTATCAGGCCCGGATGCTGCTTCTGATTACCGAAGCTAAGCAACGGTCAGATGTGGTAGCAGCCGCAACAACGAAGAAGACAGAGGACGCCGAACAGGCACGTCTGTTGGCAATTGAACAACAACGCCTGCCGGCTGAACCAGCAGCTAAGGCTGCCGATGAAGAAAGATTACAGCGACGAGAGAAGATCTTCAATGGAGAGTGAGCCTTGCTCACAATGGCCGCAGACTGGCGGACTGAGGCTGAGACTGGGAAGATGGAGGAGAGTGAAAGAAAGATTGCTCTACTCCTCTCCCATCTCACAGACCTCCTCGCAACATGCATTGCACAACAGAAGGACATTCATCACCTCAGCAGCCGTTTACAACAGCTGGAGCAACGACCTGTCACCGCCTCCGTGACCAGCGCCTCCAATACTTCTGATCGCCTCGACGCACTGGAGACCGACGTCGGTTCACTCAAGGATGGCGTATAGTTACAGCAAACCGCCACCCACAAATTGGAGCAGCGGATATGTGCTGCTGCCGCCAATCCAAGTTTCAGCAGAACGCGAAACGACTCCAAAGTTCGAGGGTCGGACGATCTTCTGCGATTCGTCCAAGACGAACCCGATTCCATGGTTCCGCAAGTTTGAACTGACGCTGCAGCTCCATCATGTTAGCGAATACAAGAACCACGCGTACTTATACTCCCGGTCGGGAGGCGCATGCCAAGCATGGCTGGACAATCTTTTGTCCAAGTACGGGGTGGTCACTGCGGAACTGCACACCAAGATCAGTTGGGAAGACCTCAAGGCGGCATGGCATAAGCGGTTCCAAGTAGAGCCGCCGGAGATCAAGGCAATGGACAAGTTGCTGTACTTCGAGCAAGGCACGCTGCCGAGTGTCGACTGGATCGCCGAGTACCAACGCTTGACGTCCGTCCCAGATCTTCAGATCGGCTTCAAGGCCATCAAACACTACTTCATCTCGAGGTCGTGTCTGGCATTAGGCAATGCCTTGACTCATGTCGAGGAGACCCTGACGACAACAACGGAGCTCTTTGACAAGACCGCGCAGATTATTGTCACGAACAAGGAGGCCAAGAACCTTGGCCGTTCGGTTGCAACAGGCCCGAGCAGGGACCAGCATCGGCCCAAAGTGGTCGTGGTCGCGGCGGCATCGCCAACCGACCAATCTAGCGAGGCCGTGCCTGCCAATGAAGGGGACAGACTCGCAGCCGCCCGGGATGGTGGCCGCCCCGGCAAAGGCCGAGGACGCGACAAGATGAAGACAAACACCACATTTATCCCCGGGCCCGGCGCAGCAGCTTCAGCCCCATGGACCCACTACGGCCAATCGGGAAATTGAGCACTGTCGGGAGTGACAAGACGACACTCTCGACGTCTTCGGAACCGGTCGCTTCGCGGGTGACCGCCCTTCGTTCCGAGGCACATGCGGAAGTCGATAGTCCTCCTCTTCTATATTCTTACGAGGACTATGCTGCCCGACTCGTTCCTACGCTGGGTTCTCATGCTCAAGGACAAGACGTGTGTGCGGCATCTTCTCCGTCCGGCAGCGGTGACTTATCGTCTTCAAGTGGTCCTTCACGGGATTCGGCGCGCGAGTTCAACATAGAGGTATTGGACCCGCTCACGTCTGAGGATTTCGCATGGCTTCCTCTCCCTACCACGGGCCGCTTGCCGGGACCGCAATGCGCAGCACTATGCGCTCATCTTCACATGTACTTATCCTTCTATGCACCACCAACTTCGCCGACGGATGACGGAGTCGCGGTGGGGGACATCCTTGCGTATGTTACCAAGGTGGCCGGCGAGTTTCGCAATCAGCGGTACGACGACAATAACGCACCGCTCCTTTATGTCCGCATCCAAGTTGGGCAAGCATCCTGCAGCGTTTTGCTGGATAGCGGAGCGACTCGCAATTTCATGAGCCAAGCCTTTATGCAAAGGGTTGGCCTTGGCGCACAAGTTCGGAGGAAGGCAAACCCGACGGCGATCAAGTTGGCGGACGGAAGGACGCAACAACTTATCGACCGTTACTTCGAGGCCGCACCGATGTATTTCGCACCTCATGCATGCGAACCGGTGAAGTTCGACATTTTGGACACGGACTTCGATATCATTTCGGGAATGCCTTGGCTTGCAAGTGCGGATCACACGGTCAACTTCCACCAGCGGACTCTTAGCGTTCGTGACGCCTTCGGCGCCGAAGTACCGTGTACTATTCCTCTTCCGCACCCTTCGACCCGGTGCCAAGTGGTGACGGCCAAGTCAATTGTTCCCCCACGGCCTTGTATTAGGACCCCCGTGTGGTGCGGTTGCTTGACGAGTTCACCGACATCTTCCGGTGTGGTGCCGGATCGGCCGATCTCTCACGAGATCATTCTTGAGGTCTGTGTCGTGCCACCGAACGGCTGCATTTACCGCAGCTACGACAACATACCGACCGAATACTTGGTACACTTTGTGTACTGATGCAATGCAAGCCGATATCTTCGGCTCCACGTCGTACCCGCGACCAGATTCCACCTTCAGATCGTCAGCTTCGCCCTCGACCCAGCTTGACTTCATAAGCAGGGGGGGTGTTACATGCTGCGCCAGCACACGAGGGCCATTTTCCAGGCCCTACGTCCCTCAGGTTGAAAGCCTGAAATCCAGGGAATACAGGCCCCATGTCTGTTTCAGCCTGACAGCCTGAAAACGAGGGCCTACAGGCCTCGTGTCTATTTCAGCCTGACAGCCGGAAAACCAGGGCCTACAGGCCCCGTGTCTATTTCAGCCTGACAGCCTGAAAACCAGGGCCTACAGGCC